ACCGGGGGTATAAGGTAGTGCTATAGGTTTCGTAGCCCGGGGAGGTAACCATAAACTGTACACTATCTGCAGGAATGGTGATTGAATAAAAACCAAAAGCATTGGTAACAGTACCGGCATTTTTTGAGGGGATGAAGACGGTGGCTCCAATAATACTTTCCCCACTCTTTCCTTCCTTGATATAACCACTGATGGTCACCTGCTGCGCATGCAGCATTGAGGAGAAAAACATTAAAACAAGAGCACTGATGATACGCTGATGCATATTAAAAACCTGCGGTTCCTTTTTAAGACGATCTAAAAAACATTCTCCTTTGCATTTATAGTAACAGATACAATGCCACCAACCCAATCCGCCAAATTTTCCCTTCTTATTAAAAATACAAACAATGTATTTAAGATTTTATAAATTTACCCTTAAATAAAATACGAATGCCGATCCGGCATGGTTTTTGAAACAAACTTTACAAACTAATTGACACACAATGAAATTATTCCGTTTATCCTGTATCGTACTGATTGCGATCCTGGGCCTGAGTGCCTGTAAGTCCACCAAGAATGCTACCGCCCGTGCTACGAAGATCGAGCGCCTGTATCATGACCTGAAATCAACGTTGAAAGATGCCGATGTTTCTTACACCAAAAGAGGAGGCGTAAAAGTTGTTTACCCTGAAATAGCTACGTTCGACTTTAATAAGGATGTTATTAAATCAGAGGCTTACGGTTCGTTCAAAAGCTTTGCTTCGCTGCCTAAAGATTACCCAACACTTGACATTGTAGTGAAAGGCTATACCGATAATATTGGTACTGATGAAGTAAACCTGAACCTGTCTCAACGCCGGGCTGATAACAGTAAAGCGATATTGGTACAGAATGGGGTGAATGGATCGAGGATCTCTACCAAGGGAATGGGCAGCAAACGCCCGGTGGCCAGCAATAATACGGATCAGGGGCGCCAGTCAAACCGCCGCGTTGAATTCCTGATCTATGATTAATTTTTTCACAAGTAAAATATTGATTGATTAGGCTTTTACGTTCTTTTGCCTTGATGCAAAAGAACCAAAAGATCAAGGCTGACGCGCCTTTGGCTGAAAATAAACTACGTTTCGCTAAAATGCCCCAAACTCGCTACGCTCAGACAGTGGGCATTTATTCGCCAGCTTGTTTATTTTTATTATTGGTGCTCATGAGGGCTGCGCCGTTTTGACGCTTCACTACGTTCCATTTTCTTAACGCCAAATTCGCTAAGGCCGGTCCGGTCGCTGAATATCTTATAAATGCCAGATTTCAATGAGCAATTTCAAATTACCGGTAAGCTCAAACATATAGTTTTCCCGTAGAGACAATTGATTGTAAGGGCTGGCGACTTTTCAGAAACGATTACTTAATAAGCATTTAGAATCACTTAAACAGAGA